ACAGAATTTTGGTTCGTGTTCATTAAAGTTGTTGCACGGTGCGCTCTCAGTGTTACGTCTCGTTTATATGTCATGCCTTCTCACTGGTCAAATAATTTGAATGTTCCGTTTATTTTTGTTTAGGGGGGGTTGGCGGATTTCTTACGTTTTCTCCAATTTTTCCCTTGCAATATCGATGGATTACGCATGGCCACCTATTAGCCCACTAGTGTGTTGTTCACGTTTTTTCCCTGTTTATGCGCATGTCTCGATTTCGTGTCATACTACAATTGTTATGGTTCGGGTCCTCACTCTTGTTGAACGGGATTGATAGAACTCGGATAAGGTTGATTGCGATTCGTTTGAGATGTATGAATCTAGAAACTTGCTGTACTAAATTATCTGAGCATTTATTTAGTTTTAATGGCTCAGCGCTTGTTTTATGTGACGCGTAATGTTTGTACACACGCCTTATCGGACACCTTTCAATATGCCATCCTGAGTTTCTTTTAATGCTCTTTATATGTTTTTTTTTCCAGGCTCAACAAATGAAGTAGTCTATGTACTAAAAAATCAATATGCCTGCTGTACCAACTAAAATACGACTTCGACTCGCTCAGTTCAAAGTTGATATTCCATATTCTGTGCAAAGATTAGAGCAAGCATATTTTATACAGGAAAATCGATTTTCACAACTATTTGCTTTGAAAATAAATTGATTTCTAGATATGGTCAACACATACGCGTAAACTCTACCTCCATTGTAAACTCACAGAGGTGCGCCCATAAGCCGAATGTTTCCAGCCATATGCTAAAATTATTTGCTTCCAGACTTATGGAAAACAAGCAACAATTTCATCCATATATAAAGGGGCATTTTGTAGTAACTGGCCGCACTAACAATCCGTCACTCTGCTTCTCGTTTCGACCAAAGTCACAGTGTCCATTGTTACAGACAAGGTGCTAGAAAATACAGCGTTTTATCCGCATTGCAACATGGGATTGGGCAAAACCGATTGCTTAGCACTTATGTTCTTCCGAGCCAATAGGAACGGGCAAAAGCAGTTGACCACGGTGAAGCAGGGGACTTGGCGTTCTTTGGTTTTAACAAAGCATTTGACAGTGTGAACCACGGAATGCTGCTGCAGAACAGGTGCAATAATCTCAACCCTGGATTCGTACTTGTTCGCAAAGAAGATTTTTTTACTCAACATTCTATGGCAATTCGGGTTTTGGAGTTACACTAGGACCCATACTTTCTTTTTCTCGTTCTTATGAACTATCTGCCAAACTTGTTGAGACCACCCGTATTCATAGTTGCAGATAATACCAAAACCTGGAATATGGTCACGAAAACCCTGGGGACTGATTAGCACGACAGGGAACACTCAGCACAGTTCATCAAAGGAAATCTGACGATGGCACTGAATTCAGAACATCGAAATACACGTTCATGTCACTAGAGTTGAAAATATTGATCTCCCCGCACATAATCGAACATCAACAACCCCAACGTATTTTGATGGAGAAAGATTATTTCGTCATACAGTGTGACCAAAGCAGTTCGATTGACTTTTCTGTGGTGCAGTCGTTGGCTTTAAGCCTGTTTCTATCATATCTGAATTGATACTCTGCCCATGTTTCTGATTCAGTTGCCCACCCATTCAGTATAATAACTAGGTCTGGAATACATGGCTGCAACGCGATTGCACATTTTCGTGATAGCCCCAAACAATGACCACGAAGATGGTGCAGGCAATGGATTGCAACAATTAAACCAGTGGACTGTAATCCCTAGGGGCCAGTCTGCACCGACTGTCGCTAAACTCGTGGAGCTTTTATCTTGATGTCTCATATAGTTTAGAACCCGGACTATCCATGTTGTTCCCTGATCACGTGATCGCTCATCATCCACCGTAGGGAACATCTTCTCAAACTGTATACTGAAATGCCAATGGCATTCATTTGACATCAGACTGTGTAGCAAATAGATTTTGCGCGCACAAATAATTCTTCCAAGCACAGACTTGATGAATCATTGACATTGCTAACAATTCGATATCTGAAAAGTGCATAAAACAATGAGACAGTGTGATATTTTGCATACGCCGGATCGGGTACAACATTTATATTCCCTGTTCGACCGCACATTTGATTCATGTTTGGACCAGAAAACCAGCGAAATAAGGAAAGCAATGGATTTTGAGCATTTTTCATCATAGAACCTTTAATTTCAATTTATCTCGTTTGACAGCCTTTCACCGAAATGTTATTTATTTCTCACGATTTGGTCGCACCAAGTATGATCCCATGTTTCTCGATCAATGCGTTTTGTGTAGTCGTTGCGCACGGTTCTCTTCACCCATACACATACTCCATACCAAACTGTTGTTGGAAACCAGTACTAATTGTTCCCATTCCCAAATCCTCTACTTCGAACGTTCTAACCAAACGCTTTCGATCTATCGTTTTAACATCTGTTGAACTTAAACTAGCAACGCGCATTTAGTCCTCACTTGGTGTCCCGTACGATCCTCTTCAGTTTGCCCATGAACCAGACAGATGCACGCTGGATGCAGTTTCCTCACTTTCAAGTAAAACTACCAAATCCTTGACTGACTCTGCGAAATCTGTTCGTTGTGTTTCTGGACTACTCATCTGCTTTTGATTCGATTAATCGTTATCTTCTTCTTCCTAACTTTCGTCATTATATCGTCCATTTTTAATTTCCGTTTACTGCTTCACTGATTCGAACTGAACCCAGCGGTTATCCAAACACTTTTTCAATCAGTTTCTCTATGCGAAGGAGACATGAAATGTTGCTACATGACCTTATGGTGTGGATACACGGAATGTCACTTGACAAATGTTATTTGTAAGAATACACATGTGGGAGGATTTGAATGTGCGTGTGGCTGACAGTCAGCATTCTACTCAGATTATTCATCTGTGTGTGTTTTTTAGGGAGCAACTGCTTGTGGTTATGGGAGTGACTCATGGGTTGTCCTTCAGCACTAATTCGATTTATCATGCTCAAGGTAAAACTACGGTTCCCATCCTGTTCATTGGGCTTGTTTTTATACTTTCACGTTCCAGAATGAGTCAAGTGACAAATGAAAACTGCTTCGTTCAAACCAATTATTGTTCATCACGTGCCGGTTTCCTCCCATTTCAGTTGTAGTGAGACCCAGCGGAGGAGCTGAGCGTTGGATGCGTCCTGGTCGACAGTGACGGACAAACGCCATAGTGTTAACGTGCAACTAGTTACTGGGACAGTGGTAGATAGCCCACGTGGTTAGCTTGTGGTACCAACCACCAGTGGTCCACGGGTTTGAATCCAAGCGGCTTTGATAAACAAGCCCGGCTATTTATCCATTACAATATTGCTTCCATGGCTCTTCATTGATGATTGACATCTCCAATCCACATGGCGAAAACACTTTAATAAAGAAAAAGATATAATAATTATTAGTGAAGTGGCTTTTATATCAATGATTTCTCGTGGTACCCAACAACTGGCATATATGTAATGAAAGTATTTGTTGTAGCTGTTGTAATTGTTTCGTCCTGTTTGGGACTCATCAGCAGCGCGTACGTTTTGTGTCCCCGTCAATGCTGACGAGTCCCAAACAGGATAAAACATCTATCTGTCTAGTGCTCTTTTTCACACAGATATTTCCATCGCAAATAATTTGCTGGTGGAGAACTAGCGGTCTCCCATGGAGTGAAACCCACACCCAAGACAATCAACAGTACCTGGTACCTGTGAGCAATCAAATGGGCTAATCCAATCAGGATCGTCTAAAGTGACTCACTAGTTTTCATTTCTTTAAAAAAACACTAACCAACTTCCTGTGGTAATCATGGGTTGGAGTGAATCGTTCCAGTTCTAATTTGTTACCAGTTGAGTGGTATTGGTATAAACGTATCATCTTTTCACATCGTCAATGGGCCGTCTGCTTTTTAGTGTCTTCCGTCACGCCCCCTACCCCTACCCCATTTTTGTATAATCTGATGTTCAGCAATGCACGCACGTTCCTGCGCATTTCCCTTTTTCTCCAGTTCCACCATTCGACCTGCATGTTGTGCCACAGAATGGCTCTCTACTGATCAAATGGGTCTTCGATCAGTCGACGAGCTCCAATCAAATGATCCAGTACAAAATTAACATTAGTCGAGCTGACCGTTTTCGTATGTTGACTGGCCAGACCGATGGGAGTGAAGTCCGTGTGCAAGAGTTGAAACCATGTGTCTATCACACCGTGGTCGTGGAAACTAAGCTTGGCAATAATACGGAGGTCTATCAGAACGCCCAATGTGGGGTTGTTTTACTGGACGGTAAGCTCATTGTAATATTATATCGGACGTTTTTCGCTTCGGCCTCCTCACTCGTTCCAGACTACCAAATCCGATTTCCATATAGGAGTATTTTTCAGTTAATCGAGCAATCTATGTGAAAAGATCTGAGTTTTAGGGTTTTGTCTCAAAGCTCATCTGGTACAGCGTAAGTTGTGCAGAAGCGTAAGCTAATCCTCGCATTGGTTCAAATCCCACCGAGGTTCGTCATCTTCTCACAGTTGGATTGCATGAATACTGTTGTTCAGCGATGGATTTACTATGGTCTTAAACGGCTTTACATTGTGCGCTGTAAGTTGTGGAATGAACTGATTTACCGTCATTTCCTAGACCTATGATTTGTCTGTTCTCTCCGAAAGAATGTGTATATCCACAGTGGTCTAAAGTAGGTTTCGTCATTCGGTAGCTAAATTGATGTGGTTCCGGCATGCTTCAGCTTCCAAGATTCAGAGTTCAAACCTTGCACCACCAGTTAACGATTGACTTTCGTGACTGAGGGGAGCATTTGTTTTACTGTACATCAAACAAAGATGTGTGTATGTTTTACATTCCCAGCATGGTTGGTAAAATAAATCAATACCTTTTATCTTTCAAAACAGATTGAATTTTCTCCAGCTGGTAATTGTGTTTGCTTATTGACCACGACAATGCATCTACATATTGATAAGACTGTTTTGCTACCTTCGTACATATCCCATTGATTAGTATCTGTGTTGAGGCTGTGCACCAGTTCGATGACTGTGCAACCCCACTTTGACTTGTATTTTCCTCCACATCTTCACAGTTCTTGTATTTACAGTCGAAATACAATTCATGCACGAGGATAAGATGTCCGAACGAATGTAGAATATTCTCATTCTGAGAGAGAATTCACCCGAATCAATGAGTAAATATACGATTTGATTGCTCATCCCGAGTTGATGAGTTACAGGTTGCGCAAGTCGCGGATAATTGTCCAATAATCCGATTGCAAACAGAGAAGAATTGTAATGTGTTAGGACATGGCTGAGCACTACAAAGAAAAGTGAAAGGATAGAGCAATCGCACAGTATAAAATAGGCCAACACCTTATTTTCGGAAGATTAAGGATGCCTCATTAAATATAAGTAGCATTGTGTTTGTATGTGTGTACTTGTTTGTGCTAGTGCATCTGTCCCCTAATCAATGAGCTTTTGGGCACTATGTCATCAAGGTAGCAGTAAACGTACTATCACTAATATCCGTATTGGTTTTAGACTTTGGGTACCCATTGCTTCGGTTATCTTGTGTCCGAATATTTGGCTCAGGGATTTGCTTTGAGGTCTGTTTATTGCAAGTACCGTTTTTATGAAGATAGTCATTAATATTTGTTGCACGTTGTGTAGTTGTGCTGTGTGTTCCTCTCGACATTCGCCCGAAAGTGTTCCTAACTACGTATTGCCTACTATTTCTTTGTGAGGTTGTAATACGCGTTTGAATAAAGGAATGTATCATTACATTACCGACAGGGAAGTTGCTGTCAACTAGGACAATTTATTGTGACGACAATTCCATTGAATGGAGAATACTTTAATTTTTTCTTCAGGCTTAAAAATTACTCAATGCCACTCAATGTCCGGTTTTCAATTATAAGATTGTCTCCGATTTTTGACTCGATTAGATGAGTATTTATTTTGAGGATCAGTCGTAATAACAAAAGTGACAGCACGAATTATCGATTTATTTGCCGATTTCGACTGATTTTATGTATATTCGCGCCACTCACCCACTCCACACCCATTGGGATTGCTTGCACATTCACAGCACAAGCGCCACTACGTAAAATAACCGTGGAATCTTTAGTTGGAGGTACGAATCAAGTGCTACGCTGGAAACGACCATACTGGCGGTCCGCTGAGTGTTATGAACGATATCGTGTAAATGTGACTGAGAAAGGTCTTCCACTGCGGTCACTGATGTTCTACTCCGATGGGCCCCATTTAATTGAGAACCTGAAACCATCGACGGAATACCGGTACACAATTGAACCTATGTGGGATACCATTGCCGGTCCAACTGGTGAAATAGTCTCCACCACCAGAGGAGATACCGGTAAGTATGTCCTGATACATGGATATTACACAGGCTGAGAAGATGACAATTTTTTCATTTATTTATGAAAAAATTCAGCTATCGAAACAATCATATCAGGTGTATATGTAATAGTTGTAGTAAGCACTGATCACGGAATACGAATGATGAATTTAAAAAAATCACGTACGCCACGTAAGCACTGGATCACACTGGTATTAGCACGACAGTATCCCATGTAAACGAGATGCGAGGAAAAGACCACAGGAATAGCAGTTCATTTATTGAAAGAAATCAGATGGATTAAATTATTATTATTATTATTATTATAAAATAATGACACAAAAACAAGTTCATTGATCATCCAAGCCTCTGCCAATCGCGTGCTAGTAGCTCTGACGTTGTTTAGCTTCCGTCTGGGCCGCACAGTTTCCTATTGGCTGGCACAATCGGTCCATAGTTTGCAGTCCAGAAGCTATGGCACGTACACGTTTTGCTGATGTCACCCGGGAAGCTTGATTGATCACAGTTGTCCGAAAACTGTAACGTGTTGCTCTGTGGTGTGCGTCATCTCGTAGGCTAGGATCACAACAGTATAGCATGACAAGATAGATGTTTTCACATTTTCTGTGCTGCTCATATTCTGGATGAGCACGTTCCGTCTGCATGGAGACCCAATGTAGAGGAAAAAATCGTTCGTGTATAATGGATAGACAAACAGAAGATAGTCTTTGTTTGTTTAGTAATTTACTTATTTCGAGCTTATGGTTTAGTTACTGATCGTTTCGTTACCAGACTAGGTGACATCTGTTGTGTGGCTTCATTTGTCCTCTTCCATTCCTGATCTGCTTCTACTGTTGTTTAATCTATACGATGATTTAGGAAAACATTGAGTTGCGTGCAACCTCAGAGGTCAAGTTCAAAATATTTCTGGAGGTTTATTCTACTCTAAGCAATAGAGAATAATAATAATGCGGTACTCTAAATATAAAAGCTTACAATTAGCATAGATAGCTCACTAGAAGTTGTAGTGTTTTCCCATGGACATGTCTGAACCAATGAAGTAAATTTAACTTGCAAAAGAAGAAGCTCACTATTCCGTCAAACGCACAAGGGATAAGTTAGGTAGCGCACATGTACAGATGGGTTAGTATGAGCTATGTGTAGCCTGGATCAAGCAACCCGATACGACAATAAGATAACAATTAAAGGTCAAAGTGAATCACACCGTACCAGGGCCAGGGGCAGTGGTCATTCGGGTGAATGGGGGAAAGCTAGTCAAGCGAGTTCGGTAGACAAATAAAGAATTGGGATCACCCATGATAGGAGAAAGTGTTTGGGAGCCAGAGTTTTAGTATTCGTTGATATGTANTATGTATCCGTTCAGGCAATAACCAGTGCCCTACAGGGTATGAAAACCCTAATCAAGAGACTAAGTCACATAGGCCCTGTTAGGCTCCCTGGCTGGGGACCCCGAGATGATGATCACCGAAGTTTAGAGACACTGAATGACATGGCTGGATGTCCCAAACAGTGGCGCTCATGCATCCACTCATTATTCTCTTATCACCACTCTATATGAATTCTTCATCTTCCGCTTGAATTTGCTTTCAACATTCCACTCAAAATGGGGCACCGAAAGACAGCAACCAAAACTGGCGAACGAAATTGCATGAATAATGATTGTTAAAACTGAACTGAAGTGAGTGCCCGGTAGGTGACAAAATGAGCGTGTGAATGGAATCTTATGTAGAGTAGCAGACAGATCTGGCACCGCTCCTTCAAATCCGAAAAGGGCTTTGCTTACTGCGCCGCTCATTACTGGACGCCTCAATCTCCACTCCATGCGAAAGGGGTACTTCTTACTGTGGCTGAAATCCTGGGTCCCATCCCTGGGTACGCCTTACTCACGCTTGGTGTGCCTATTCCTTCTGACGGTCAACGCAGTCTATCAACGCGCGTACTCGCTTTCCCCGCGTGTAATTCAAAGCCAGTGTAGATAATCGCAAGCATTAAACAATCCTATGGTGTAGAAAGCACTCGACTGGTCTGTGGGGAAACATGGGTGAGAAACGAGTTAGTTTGTACAACACCAATAGCGTGAAATTATAGTAAAATGCATGATGATGCTTGTATTTTTTGGTCAGTACTGACTTGGTTCATAGAACTTTTGCATATCAACCCCTCCGGTAATTGATTCATTCGTAGACAACTGGGTTCCAAGCTGTCTGAGACGATAGCCCGCTTAATATGGGTCGCAGGTCCACAGTCGGCCGGATGTCGATCGATGTCCACGTGTAAGGAAATGAGTCCTTTTTATTGATACTTAGTTTTTGATCGTTGTTTGCGGGGCTTCATTTTCGGCAGTTCCCATTTCTTCTACTTTGGATCTAATTCAGCTTCAGCCACTCTAGTGGCCACCATGAAATCGAATGGATTCCAAAGGCTTACGCAGAGATATATATTACAGTATGATGTCAAAGTTGACTGCCGACCTGATGAACAGTTCCGAGTGGATTTTCCATAATCCAAGTCTTGATTTATTCGTTAAAAATAGTAGTAGCTGTAGTAATAGTATTAGTATTAGTATGGAATGGGCGCGGAATACGAATCACAGAATAGTTATCACTGATTAGCAATCACGGAAGTCACGTGAACACTGGATCACCCTGGCACTTGCACACAATATCCCAGGTAACCGAGACACTACAGGAGTAGTAGTTCGTTTATTGAAAGAAATAAAGAGATTAAATAATATCTACAAAACGAACGAATTGTTCATCCGGGCATCTGCCAATCGCGTTCTAGTATTTCATGCGTTATTCAGCTTCTGTCTGAGCCACACGGTTTCTGATTGGTTGATACAAACGACCCATAGTATGTAATCAGAAGCTGTGACACGTACGCGCGTTGTGGACGTCACGCTGGAAGCTTGATTGATCACAGTTGTCCGAAAACTGTAACGTGTTGCTCTGTGGTATGCATCATCTCGCAGGTTGGGATCACTAAAAAAATGTATGGCTCTAATGAAACCGTTACCGTGCTTGAGCTTACGATTATTCTCAGCATTTTGATACACGTCAGCATTGCATGATTCCACATACCACAACTACTGGTACTGTTGTCGTGAGATACAGCTGACATTTGTGAGTAGGATGAAAAATAGTGCGGTTGGTGGTTTCCTTCAACGATCAAGAAATAACAAGACTAACGAGGGCAAATGGCTGTCTCAAAGAATAACTATTGACTGCGCTATCCATTACCCCGTGTGGCTCCGGGAACTATGCTCACATGTTTCAAATGAGATTTCTGTTATATGAATGCTAAATCAGTGATATCCTAACTGCAATCTGCAATAAACAACTTCCATCGACCGAGCATCGCTTTGTGGAATTATAACACTATTAATACCCGTTGGTCGTCCTTCCCAATTGTAGGAAGTGCTAAGTTACATCACATTGTGTCCCATTTCTAGATAGACAACTGCTCAGTCGAGTGAACTCTACTTGACACATACCTGGTTAACACTAGTAGTGTGAACCCATCGATTTCACCCGGATTTGAACCCACGTTTAGGGAATAGCACCAAGAATTCAAAGAGTCAGACGGAGTAGGGTAATTTTAATGACAGTGAAGGATGAGCGCTGAATCAGGCAGTGGTGCCATGCGACAAGCTGCTCCAAGGCAGTACCCGAGTTCAAACCTTGGTAGATTAAGTGTATGACAAAATATTAAAAATTGGTTCTCGTTGCTCGAGTGAACTGAATTCCATTTCACCTGTTGACCGAGCTTGGCAATTTGTTTGCAAACGTTTCATTACCAGCCGAGGTGACATCATCATTGCTTGCGAAGTGACCTTTCTGGTATCTCTTTTAAAGAATGATGCAGTTGATCCCAGGCTATTACCTAGTAGTAGACATGTTGAATATCAAGAACAAATTCACATGCTTTGTCCGAAACCCCGAAAGCTTTTAATACAGATCGGCTCTTGTTAGGATACAATACCATTTTGCAGTTATACTAAAACGGATACGGATATTTGGTGCTGCTTCTAACCTTCAAAATCTTCGGAAACTATGGATGCAACTAGAGTGGAATATTTTGCGTGGAAGCTCCCGAGGGCATTGAAGTAATGCATTAGAACTAGCTTCCGTCTAATCAATTATCAAAACAATTGATGTTCGTATCAAACTAACGGAATCATTTCTATGCAACACTGTCAAATTTTAAACATTTTAACAATGGATACTGCTTGATAAAGGCCCGGAACTCATACCACTACCGCCCTTCCCTCCCCCCAGTTGAATGTGGTTGTCGTGATCTACAATAAGATTGACCTTTGGGACCTGATTCTACCGTCCTTAGTTGGCTTAGTGAAGCATAATGTTTTATGAATTCAAACTGTGCCACACTATCTCTCGGTGACCCCAGCGACAGCCTGACCAGTAGTGGCTTTCTTTTCTTTCTATCCTAAAATGTACAGAGTGTAACTGCGTTAAAGCTTAAAAAATTAACTACTGATTGTAATTTGACTATTATCGCAAAATAAACATTGAAGGGTTGTTTGTAAAGTTCAGTTGCAATAATCTTTTGTCAGTAACTTGCCTATGCAAATGTTTATACCAGGTCGAGCGAAATGTTTGTCCCCAAACAATCAGAGCATGCTCACCTATTTTTCAGATCATCCAGCCACAACTATATACAATCTACGAGTGCGGTCTGAAGCGCAGAGTTTGACTGTCACATGGGATGTTCATGCGGAAAACAGACTAAATTTGACCGCGTTTGCAGTTGGAATCGGGGATTTCTGGTCCCGCATCTCTTCAGAACAACAACGATACAGTGTGAAATCGATAAGAGAATGCAGAATTTACAAAATTATGGTCTACGCAATAATGAGACCCAGGACGAATCAACCTTGGGAAGAAACGTTTGCAAGGCCGTTGGCTGCTGGTGGTATGTGAACTGGAGCATTTCTGTGTGCTCGTAGATTGTGTGCAAAAACCGTTGTAATGAACACGCTCATTTTCGCTGATTCATCCATCGTCTGAAAAATCATAGTTTGGTGGGGTGGGGTCTCTCCACGGACGTATGACTAAGCTTAGCAGCAAAATCCGTAAACAAAAATCGAATCGTTTCACATAATTTAAACAATATTTGAGTTGCATTTCGTGTTTTATCGATGACAATATAAATCCCCATAGTTATTTCCATTGGCGATCATCATGTGCGAATATCGACAAGTCCAGAGTTTGAATCTCAGACCTTTCTCTCATGAAAGGCGTATGTGTGTGCCACCAATGAAATAAACAAGTCAAAACGGGGCGAGCCAGAAACAGCTGATTACGTTTGATGACACGTCGTCTTCAGTGATAGCTGCTCAATTGTTGACTCGTCTGTAAACGAATAGACACTGTTGCCCACTGTTAAACCCAATCAAGTGCTACTTTCGGGGTCAGGCACTTCTCATAGGATTCCCGTGAAATTCACTGTAATTTGCCATTCGTACTGTATGGAATAAGTTATCAGTTATGTTAGCTCCCCATTCTCAAAATATATATTTATTTATATGTCCATCTTATGATTCCACGGCTGGTACATCCATTTTCATTCTGAGAAATCTCAGGTTTGGTTCTTACACTTTAGCAGTCAAAAAGGATCGGTATTGTCGATGATACCTAGCTGTGACGAGCCACACGATCGTCTTTTCACGGCTTTGAACAGCGGCGGGGAGGGGGTTGAAGGATAGAATACATTTTGATATCCTT